GGAGCGCCGCCGCACTTCCCAAGCGGCGCACTATCCAGTGCACCACCGGGCCGGCCCCTAAGGGCTATTTATATGTTCTCTAGAAAGGGGTTGAGGCTGATTGCTTTAGCTAATGCCAAGTTCCTAGAGTAGAAGGCTTTGTCTATGGATGTCAGGGCCACCTTCTGAAAGTCCCAAAGGCTAGGGTCCAGCATCTTTGTCCTCCCACCCCCTGGGGGCTTCACAGGCTTTCCTCCAAGTCACATCCCAGCCCTCCTGTGTTCAGCATTCCAACTCCTCACTCTGTCCCTGCCCCTCCTAGGCATCTGGTCCTGTTCACTGCTAACATTCCTGCCCTCCCCTGATAGTCATCTCCCTTTGAAACCCAGTTCCCACTTCCTACCCCCTGCACCCCCCCAACCATACATGACATGACATACCACAGTCGGTTGCCATTGTGGAAGGGCTCTTCCCTGATCTGCCCTCAACCTCTGGCCAGAGAGCTAACCCCAGGCCTGCTGCTGCTCCTTTGACAAATGTGCGATACAACATCCCTGTGTCTTCTGCCTCCCTCTCGGCCATCAAGAGCCTGGGTCACAGGGGCATCTCCTGCATCAGTCTGACCAACTTGGATGGCTCACCAGCTTCGCACTGGGTGCTGCAGTCTATTGCCTACCACCCGGGCCCACACCTGCAGGAGCTTGTGCCTGAGCACAGACAGCCCCGCAGAGGCCTCCTTTGTGGCCCTGATCCTGGGCTGCCCGGCCCTGCGTATCCTTGACCTCAATGGCTGCAACAGCCTCTTCACATCAGGCATGCTGCTGGCTCAGCCCAATATGGTACAGAGCGTCCGGCAGGCCTTGAGCGGCCTCCGGGAGCTTAACCTGGCTGGCCTGCGGAACCTGGCTGACCTCAGCTTCAACCAGCTCAGCAGCTGTGCCCGCAGCTTGGAGCACCTCTCCTGGGCTTATTGCTACCTCATGTTTGAGCTAGGTCCAGCCCTGGGCTCCGTTGGCCCCCAGAACTCCTCCCCCTCCCACCTCTCCTTCCGCAACCTGCTGCGATTCGTGAAGGAGCGGGCTGGCAGTCTGCATGCCCTGGATCTGAGTGGCACTGGCTTGCCATCCAAGGCCTTGCAGGCTTTGGGCCAGGTAGCTGGGCTGCAGCTGCAGGAGCTGAGCCTACACAGCTTCCGGGACCTCTCCACAGAGGCTGTGGCTACTCTGTGCTGCCAGCAACCAGGCCTTACCTCCCTGGACCTCAGTGGCTGCTCAGAGCTGACAGATGGGGCACTGCTGGCTGTGAGCTGGAGCTCGTGGCACCTGCAGCACCTGAGCCTGAGGAAGCTGCAGAGGCTGACGGATGCGGGATGCACAGCCCTGGGGGTCCTGCAGGAGTTGCAGAGCCTTGACATGGCCGAGTGCTGCCTGGTAAGTGGGCGGGAACTGGCCCAGGCCCTGGGCTCAGTGCATGGAGCTCCACCCCCATTGACCTCCCTCAACCTGGCTTACTGCTCTTCACTGAAGGTGAGCACATCCCCCACTTTCCTCTGCAGGGCTGGGGCTGGGAGACTGGGCCCCATGGCACCAGGGAGGGACCACCCAGTGTTTTTGTCCAAGGAATAATAGAACTAAACTTGGGACACTGTCTGGAAGAAGACAGGAGCCTAGACAGCCAGTGGTGCTACCAGCACCCCTCCCCAAAGCCCCCTCTCTGAGCCCAGGGAGAGGGAGGGCCAAGAGACCAGGATGGCCCAGCCCACAAGGTGGCCCAACACCTCACGTGCCAAGTGCTCAGACACTGCAGTGTGGAGAGGGGCACTGATGCCAAATGTTCTAGAGGCAGAGAAGGCTGGAGAGAGGGAGTGATGGTAGTAACAGGCAGGCAAGGGGCACTGAAGAAGACACTGCGACAGGGCCTGCAGGACATGGGAGCGGCAGCGTCATTTCTTGGCTACAGACAGGCTGTTCGGTGGAGTTCAGCCCTGTCCCCCTGGGTGGCATCCCTGTCTTGGCAGTGTCAGTCTGTCCCTTTTTAGTGGATTATTCCTTCAACCTATAAATGTGACCCAACCTAAAAACTGTTTCTCAACCTTGCTTCCCATCAAGTGCCTCTCTTCCCCTGCCTGACTCCCATCTTCCCTGTGCCACCAAGTGTTCTTGTGCATCTGCAGCTCCCCTCTGTGCACGTGCATCTCTGTACAAACCAGCTTCCTCTGTTCTGCCTTAGCTCCTGCTTCCCCCACCCCAACTTCTCCTGGCAGGTGGGAGCCCTACCCCTGCCCGTGTCCTCACAGATCTGGTTCACATTCTAGAGGGAGTATATCTGATTGGCTCAGCTAGGGTCAGCTGTCCACCCTTGGCCCAATGAGCTATGGTCAGAGGGTTGTCTCAGCCTATCACTTCAGCAGGGGCTGGGAGCACAGGCAGAGCAGCTTCCTTAGAAACTTCCTCCTACATCCTTCCTGCCCCAGCCATAGCATAAGCCTTTGTCCTCTAGCAGCCTCCTTTGTCCTCTAGGCCACCGAAGCTGGTGGTCTCCCACCACCACACTCTGACCTCTCACTACCCGCACGTAGACCATGTTGCTCCCTCCTTGAACCCTCTGGTAGCTTCCTAATTGCCTGTGGGGCGGGAATCTTGGGCAGTCCCTTCCTAGTGACTCTTGCCAAGCCTGGTAGCACAGGCACAAGCTGCCACTCCATCCTCTCTTCTCCCCACCTCCCTCCTAGGATGCTTCAGTGCTCTCCATGATCCTGGCACTGGGCCCAAGCCTCAGGGTGCTAGACTTGTCCTCCTGTGTGGCCTGCACCAACCCGACCGTGCAGGCCATCTGTACCTACCTCACCCACCTCAGTACTGCGCCTGGCTTGGTGCAAGGAGCTCTGTGACTGGGGGCTTCTCGGGCTGGGTGAACCAAGCGAGGAACCTGTTCAGGGGTCCCAGGTGCGGGACCTTCGAGGTCATGGAGGGTGAGGTGGCCCCTGGGCTCAGCTGCCTTCCTGCCTTCCCGAGTCTCTCTAGGAGCATTTAAGGGCAGACTCAGGAGGAACCTGAGAAGCAGGAGCTTCTTCCCACAGCCACGCCCAGAGCTGGAGCATCAGGCCTCAGGCCCCAAGGACACCTCTCCCAAGCCACAGGGCCCCTCCCTGCTCATGCTGCAGGCCCTGCAGGAGTTGGACCTTACAGCCTGCAGCAAGTTGACTGATGCCAGTTTGGCCAAGGTGTGATGCTGGGGGCGTGGATAGGCTGAGGGTCCTAGGGCGAGAGCCAGGAGCCTGAGTGGACCAGCCCATTTTTTGCTTGGAAGAAATTCCTTGGAGTTCCTTTCTCATTGGCTTCTGCTACCTATGGTCACTTTCCTTCCTGGCTGGGGTGGGGGAACCTGGAAGGGCCCAGGCTCTGGGCTCCAGTACCATACTATACCCACCCTATCCCACCCCGATCCTTGCAGGTGCTCCAGTTCCCCCAGCTGAGGCAATTGTCTCTGAGCCTGTTGCTGGCACTCACAGACAGGGGCTTGGTGGCTGTGGCCAGGGGCTGCCCCAGCCTGGAGCGCCTGGCACTGAGTCTCTGCAGCCATCTCAGCAATGAGGGCTGGACCCAGGCAGCCAGGTCCTGGCCGAGGCTGCAGCACTTCAACCTGTCCAGCTGCAGTCAGCTCACAGAGCAGTGAGTGTGTCCTATGACACTGAGCAGGTGGATCCACAGTGCAGGGGCCGGGCTGGGGCCCTGTGCTGGGTCAGGCACTCATCCAGTGGTGTCCTGCAGAACCCTGGATACCATCAGGCAGGCGTGCAAGCAGCTCCAGGTGTTGGATATGGCCATGTGTCCTGGCATCAACATGGCCGCTGTTAGGTGCTTCCAAGCCCAACTGCCCCAGTTGACCTGTGTCCAATCCCGCTTTGTGGGAGGGGCTGACCTGAACATAATGCTCTAAAGCCAGGTCAGTAACCAGCCCTGTGGCTCAGCCTCCTTTATCCCCACAGACCCCTGGAGCTTGACTCAGTGCCTCTTGTCTCCTTCTGCCATAGACCCCTTGTCTAGTACTGGGGGTGGGACCAATCCAGGACAGCCCAGGGGACTTCCACCCCAGTCTGCCCCACAGCCCAGCAGCAGCCTCTTTCCAGCTACATGTCGCTGCCACAGGTCCCTGCTCTCCTGGTCAGGCTCACAAGTGGGCTGGGTCTGGTGCTGGGGGGGAGCAGACCTTGTCCTCTTGCCTGCCCACTTCTCAGACCTAAGGCCCATGTCCCACTTATTCCCTATGTGAGCTCTCCCAGCCCCCTATAAGCACTGAGCTTTAGCAGCCAAGCCACATCTTTATTGTAAACCCAAACAAGATTAAAAATTTCAGAGCTTTCCTCCTTGTCTGAAGTTCTCAGACTAAAGGGCCCCTCCCTCCCACCTCAGCTGAAGCAGCTCTGGGGCAGGCGGGACCAAGTGGAGAAAATACCAGAGGTATTCACATAGATAACTTCTTGCCTGGCCCAAAGCCCCACAGGCACCCCCACACTGGCCCAACTCCCTACCAGGTCCTAGCTCCTTCCCCACGTGGTAGGAGACTCCTGAGGTCTGGAGGCCCTCTCCCAGCACAAACCGCAGGGAGTGCCCTGCGGCAAAGCCATATCCTATCCACTCGTGCTAGCCAGACCCCAGGAGTAACTAATTAATGATGCCTTAGTCAATGAAGCTGTCTTGCGGGGGTGGGTGGAGAACAGCATCTCTAGGTAGGAGGGGTCATTGGAGGTCATCTAGTCCAACTCCCTGAACTGTTGGTGACTTCTCAATGGCAGCTCTGAGTCTGTCCAGCTGGCCCTCTGTGTCCCCACACTTTATCCCTGTCTATACTTTATATGGGGATTCCAGGTGCCAAAGCTCTCCCAGCATCCCAAGCCAGGAAGGTAAATAAGGCAACAGACAGGTACAGCCCAGTGAGCAGGGTGCACGTGAACAGAAACAAGCACCTGTGACCAGGAGCCCGAGGGAGCAATGAACTTGGCCTCAGGGTGGGTCAAGGAGAGAATCAGAGCAGCAAAAAACAGAAGGGACTGTGGGAGTGCACATGGGCAGGCCAGAGCTGGCACTGGGGTGGGGGTCTAGGCCCTGCTGGGGTGCAGGGAGGGTGCCAGCTTGAACCAAGCACTGAGAACCCTGCAAGCCCAGGCACTCAGTTGGAAGGGCTAAACCACATGTCTGCAACCTATCCGTTAAACTCAATGCTCAACCAGGGTAACCGCAACCATTAACCCATGGACAATAGGGAGACATTGAGGAATATAATATGTGTTTGAGTTGTAATAGATCCGATTTCTGTCTGAGAAAGCAGTTAGAGTAGCTGATATTGAGATAGGAGGGGCAAGACTAGAGACTGGAAGTCAGGTGGTTGTTGCCAAGATAATAGTGACATGGACAAGGGATTGAAGACACTGAGGAGGAATGGATGGTATTGGGAGACTAACTGCATAGGGGATCACTGCCCCCCACTTCTACCTTGAACTCAATAGCAGACTGTTCCAAGTGTAGTGGGGAGTCTCTGAACCCAGGCTTGTGGGGCATGTTGGGCCCTGGATGCCCAAAGGTCAGAAGCATAGCTGGGGAAGGGGGTGCAAGTGCTCCTCCAGCACATTCTCCAAAGGAGGCACCATTTCACCAGTTTTCATGGTAACATGCTGATGGCTAATGCTGTTAAAAACGATATTTGAGGAGGCATTGGGAAGAGAAGTAGTGAGGGGTGTGGAGAAGGAAGTCAGATGTGCTTCTGCCCCCAGAGGCCCTGGCAGGTCTGTGGCCCCCACCCCACCCATGCTCCTGAGTTGGGTTTTAATCAGTGTGCAGGACCTCCTGCACAGAATCCCCTCTTGTCAGAATCAGTCCATACCCTCCTGCCAGCCTGGGGATGCCCTTTGGAATCTTGAGCTTGCCCTTCAGCCAAAAGCAGACCCAGTTTCACATCTCTCCCTTCACACCCCTCACCAGAGGCCTTCCAGTCTCACAAAGGAGATGGGGCAGGGCTAAACAAGGACGAGGACTGAGGTCAGGCTATCAGGAGCCTTCCGGAAGCATGGCTCCCAGACTAGGCCCCTGTTAATGCTGCCAGAAAGGCATCCACTTAGGGCAATGCTTCCTGCCCTGCCATTTATCCCTCAGCTGGTTGGCAGCATCAGCCTCTCCCCTGGCTGGTGCCCCCAGACCAAAGGCCATCCCTCTCTGCAGGCCCAACGCTAAGGTAGGCTGAGGACTCATCTTGGAGAAGGGCAAGAGCCCCAGCCTGTCTCCACACCCTACAGAACACCAGCCCCTCAGCTGTAGCTGCCCAAGTTTGTGGTCCTGGCCTGATGAACCATCCCATCCACCAGCTAAGCTTGGAGGCAGAAGGGGAAGACTGTCACTGTCTGCCACAGGCTTGGGCCACAAGGTTCAGAGCTGGCTCAACACACACCAAAGAGCCAAGCAGACTTTATTTCTGCTGCAGTGTCTGTTGGCCAGAGTGCCCACACTTCTCTACCTTCCACTGTCTGTGGCTGCTAAGTGGCCCTTGGCCACCCTCGTTGTCAAGGTTCAGCAATGCTGCAGTCATAGCAGAAGTTGAAGTTGGTTGGAGGTGGGGGAATAGGGGGTGGCCGCTCGGGAATGGGCACATTCTCCAGCTCCAACAACCGCAGCTTGGTTTCCATGGTCACCAGCTGTTCCAGGTCCAGCCGTGTCTGCTCACTGCCCATGGGACTTCCCAGCAGGGCGCTCAGCCCATCAGTCCACAGGTGGAACTGGGGATGGGGCCAGCTCTGTGAGGGCCTGCCCTCTGTGTCCTCTGCCCACCTGCCCAACTTAGCCTGGTCCAGACACTTACCTCCCGTTTGGAGGGGGCAATGAAGTTGAGGTATGACACCTCCTCCTGCCCGCAGTCATAGCTGACTGAGAAAGCCAACTCGTAGAGGTCCTGGGAAGTAGGGGAGCAGGAGGCACTGAGCAAGGACCATGGCAGGCAGGGCAGGCAAGAAGGAGCCCCTGGCCCACAATGTACTCACCTTGTTCTGCTTCCCAGAGCCCTTCTCCCGCACATGGGGGCAGTCCTTGCCTGTCAGGAGAGCCTTGATGTCAGCCACAGGAACTGCAGGAAGAAGGGTAGGCTGACCACTGTGACCCCAGGAGGCCCCGGGGCATGGGGTGGTCTGGGGGGAGCAGGTATCTGGATTCTGCCCTCCTTACGCTGCTCAGGCAGGCTCTCTGGGGCCGGCAGGCTGGTGCCCTCCTCCATATCCCCATACTGCAGCACCTTGTGGTTGGGAGACAGGCAGCAGAACCACAGCTTGTCTGTGTGGAGAAAGGGGAAGAGAGCGGGAGTGATGAGAGGGGCCCTGACCCCAACCCAGCCACCCTCAGTCCCTCTTCTGGCCGCTCAGAGACCTTGGCGCCGCCGGCTGCTGATCTTGCGGAAGAGTGTCCCCTCACAGAGGCGAAGCAAACGCTGCTGGCGGATCAAGCCCATGAGCTCGGGCTTCAGCTTCTCGCGCAGCTCCCTGGAGTGGGGGGGTCGGGGGGGTGGTGTCACTGACCAAGACTGACCTGGGGCACAGCCCATGGGGCACCAGGGGAAGTGGGGGTGAGGATTGGGGATGCATCACCGCCAACTCACAGTATAGGAGGAGCCAGCGTGCCCTCCTGATGTAGCCGCTCGGTCTGCCGCAGCCGCAGCACTTCCCCATAGGTGAGCGCATTCACCTTGGTTCGGAAGAGCTCCAGGGAGGTGGGCTTCAGGGCCAGCGTGCGAGCCAGCTGCTCCCGCACCACCTGTATGACCTGGGGCCACCCCAAGCTCAGCTCAGGGTCTGAGCTCTGTGCCGCTTCCAGCACATCACTGGGCCCTGGCCCGGGTCTCCAAGTTCCCACCACACCCACCTTGTCGAAGTCCTCCTGTGTAGCCCGCATCTCCTTCCAGGTCTTATTCAGCAGCTGGATGCCTACACAGAAGAGCTCATGGAAGCTCTTGTCTTGGCCAAAGAACATGGGCGAGAAGTCCTGGGCTGTTTCGGAGCCTGGAGCGGGGGGGCAGGAGGGGCTCAGGGAGGAAGTATGTGCAGCCCCTGGCCCTCTCTGCCCTTCCGTCCCCTGTTCCCGGATTGCTGTGCCCAGTCACACTCACAGGGCTCCCCAACATGGAGCAGCTCACACAGCAGCACTGTCAGCTGGATGCAGCTCCGGGCAAAGGGGCACTCGTGCTTGTCCTCACGGCTGCTGTTCTCCAACACAAACTGGGGCAGTTGGAGCAGAAAATGGGGGTGGAGAGTCACAGTGCAGCCCATGGGGACCATGCCCAGTTAGGGATGCTGCCACCCCCACCCTGCCCTGCCACCGACCCGGCTGTAGGCACTGGGTGCATGTCTGGCAAAGTAGAGCATGTTGTCCAGGGCAAGCAGGCCGGGGGGCACGCGTTCGAGGTCCTGTGCTGGGTTGCTGTTCTGGGGGGGGCGGGCAGGCATAAGCAGATCAGGAAGGGCCCAGACCTCTGGAACAATAGCAGCCCTGGCCTGAGGTGGGGTGGGGACTTGGGTAGGGGTCACTCACGGAGAAGCCCAGTTTGCGGAACTCTCGGGCACAGAGGGAACGGCGGCGGTCAGTACTCAGCCCAGCACCTGGGGACTCCCCCTCCGACTCAAAGGCGGCCTGGCGCAGGGCCTGCAGCTGCTCCCGCTGCTCCTGGTATCATTGTTGGGGGGAGGTCAAGATCATAGATTCAAGGCCAAGCTCCAAGCTGCCCTAGTCTTGCACACCACCCACCCCCAAAGACAGGCACCTGGCTGTATGGGTCCAGTGGTGTGCGCATTCGTGGCTCCAGCAGCCCCAGTGTGAGGGCCTGAAGTACATACAAGTGATGAGCCATCTCGTCACCCAGTGGTGCTGCACTGTGGATGATGTTCTGCAGGACAGCCAGTCCGTGGG